ATATTGCTTATCAAAATATTCACCCTTTTCGAGATATGAAGCGTCAAAGATTTGACATTCTGGCCCCTTGTGACCCCTAATTACGTAACATATGATCAAAATTGTATCATATATTGTTGCAAATAGTTAAGATAAATACTTTTGCTTCAGTAATGTATAACAAAATATTATTCATCATTAGAGTTATAGATAAAAGACTTTCGGCCTCTCTGAGCCCCTAATTTTAGGGGTCAGCCCCATTTTTTGACATCAAATGAAAGGTCTTGTGATTTTGCACATTTTTTCTTCAATATGCTTTAACAAATTATGAACGGGTATGGAGATATGAAACAAAATGTGTCAAATTTTGTGAGATATTTCTGAGACATTCTTTCGGGCCTACCGAGCTCCGGCGCCTTTTGCGCTAGAAAGATTTGGAGACCCAATTACAACTCACCAAACCTTCCTTTACTTTCACTGAAAATCTTAAGTCGATATCTTTTGTCGTTTCGGAGGAGTTTCCTGGACAAGCCGACCCTCTGAAAATCAGAAAATCGACCATATCTCCCGACCGGAAGTGAGATCATTAAAAAGCAAAAAAACCTATCAAGATCAATTGAATATCTTTCAGATCTGAAAGTTTGGTATAAATCGGACGAGCCATCTCTGAGAAATCGCTTGCACAAAATCGGTTGGAAGAAAAATAATAATAATAATAATAATAGGGAAAAAGAAACCGAACGAAAACAATAAGGTCTTCCGTTGGAAACGGAAGACCTTAACTAGATGCGATCTTGTTGCAAGCAACGAGTAGGTCTTCCGTCCGAATTTTCGATAAGATGAGATATGACTTTGACTATGATCTTTGATAAAACATCATGGAATCATGCCTTTTCTCTTTTGATTAAATCCTTTTGATTTAGATAATATCATCAATGCGTACTTAATTTGCACATTAATTCTTTTCTTTTTTTCTACTTTGAGAAACAACCAAAGCCAATTAAAGAAAACTTGTAAGGAGACCTTATGAATGTAGTTTGACACAGAATTGCAACGAACCTACGACGTGACAATCCAAGTATCCCTACACATTTCATTGCTCCTTATGTTTTTTTCGTTCAAGCAAACGCTCGGCTGCCTCTGTTTACCACTATTGCGAAATGTCGGAATTGAGAGAGACCGCCGCCATTTGGTCCCGCTTCAGATTTTTGAATGTTAATATCTCGAGTTTGAATTTATAAATTTACAAACGAATTATATATTCAGCCTAATAAAAAATGGTTCTATCAACTATACTAATATAATTTGAAAATATTGAAAAACAAAAAAGTTAAAGACGAGAGACTTTTGGCCCCTCTATGCCCCTAATTTGAAGGGCTAATCCCGTTTACTTGATATCAAATGAAAGGTCTTACTATATTGCACATTTTTTATTACAGTAAAATTTGTCTAATCCGGACTCTGAGTACTCCGGACTTTTGTCCATTCCGTCCGTAAATTTTAGTCCCATGCACTTCTTTAACAAATTCATTTGAAAAAATTCTGTGTAGTCCGGATACTGTCTATTCTGTATTCCGAACGGCCATACTGGTCCCAACTGCTCATAATTAACGTTAATTATTCCCTCTAATCCGGCCACACCTGAGTTACTTCAAAGAAATTAACACCTTTCGTGGGGAATGTGATAATCCGTGTTTACATTAGCATGATTATTAGTGCCATGAGACGAACTCGGTGAAATGCGGCGGTGACACAGTCCACTTGAAAAATATATTATATTAAATTACATTAAAAAAAAAGTAACTTTGTTTTAACTCCTTTTGCCACATTATAACATAAACACAAACATATATGTATGCGATTTACAAATCAAAATATAAATCGGGATCGAAAATCGAACGCATTTCAAAATGGCGCCATAACACTGTGGGGGAAGACGTAATTTTTTACATAAAATTACAAGTTCAATCTAATAATTTGCACATAGTTAATAATTTGCATTACTGTTAATACATTGAATGAGCTCTTTGACAAGCAAAACCCGGTCCGCTTGATATAGTAGGCCTATATTATGCGTGCCTGATTATTTTGATTTGAGTAACATTTCACCCGACTTTCAAACTTCGTGAACAAACAAGAAAATATAGTAAGTCATTAGAGACTATTTTATAATTTCTAGACTCCAAAATAGTAATTGATTTCATCATTTAATTTTATTTATAATATGTATATGATGTACTTGTAAATAAACAACGAAAATTTTCGAACTTTATATTTTCCTGCATTTTTCCTGCACTCCGGATTCTGTCTAATCCGGCCAAATTTTATGGAACTGGCGGTAGCCGGATTGGACAAATTATACTGTATATATGTCTTAACAAAATATTAACAGGTAAAAAGATATAAAAGAAAACGTGTCAATTTTTGCGAGATGAGTATGAGGCTATTTTTCGAGACCAGGCGAGCGTCGATGCCTTCTTACCTGGAAAGCTCTATATGCAAAATGTCACATCTACTATCCTTCCTCTACCTTCACTGAAAATCTCAAGTCGATATCTTAAGTCGTTTAGGAGGAGATCTCAGGACAAGCTGACCCTCTAAAAATCAGTAAATCGTCCATATCTCACGACCGGAAGTGACGACGTACTTATGAAAAATTTCCGACAAGGTTCAGATAAATATCTATCAGATCTGAAAATTTGGTGAGAATCGGTCCAGCCGTTTCTGAGAAATCGCGTGCACAAAATCGGTAAGAAAAATAATAATAATAATAACTAGATGAAACTCGTTGCGAGCAACGAGAGGTCTTCCGTCCGATTCAGGAAAAAAAAAACGTAAAATCGAGCTGAAAAGTAAAAAAAAAGATTTGCACACAAGGGGGATTGAACCAAAGTCGCCACATGAAATTCCAACGCACTAAATATTACGCTATCGGGACCTCTACTCTAAATCTACTTGTATATATCAAGGAAACCGTGCTTCTCTCTTAAAATTATGAAAGGTGGGTCACTATTCAAATTTTAGCGCCAAACGCCACGAGTTAATCTTCGCCCCTTTTCTTTGGAATGTTCTATTAAATAGTTGTGATAGCTTCAATGAAATTAATAAAAAGAACGTTCTTATAGCCTAAGATTCGAAGTTTAGAAAGTATGTTTAACACATTTTACAATTTCCATATTGTATATATGCATGTAACACTAAAGCGGTGAAACGGATATGATTTTTTCTTTTCAATTTCCTGTTTATCCTCAAAGTGAACTATCCCGAATAGTTAATCGAAAAAGGTTGAAAAGTTTCGCCGGAAAACATGGCTCGCCCTACGACTGTCAGGAATCCGATATCATTTATGCTCAATAACTTGAATCAGGTCTTTAAGACAAGAATGCTAAAATAAACTCCATGAAGCGATCTTTAAAACAATTGTTTTCTTATTTTTGTCTAATTTATTAGTTTAATATGACACAAGTGTGCAAAGGATACTGACAAAATTAATTGATATTCTTTTTTGAGAAAGTATTACTTATAAGTATGATTTAAGATCTGTTTTTCGGCGATGCACAAGAGATATTAGGTATCGAATTTCATTTGCACATTTAGTCTTTTCTTTTTCTACTTTGAAAAACCAGCCAAAACTAATTATAGAAGACGTTAGTTTGACACAGAACTGCAACGTAAATACGACGTGAAAATCCATGTATTCCTTTGTCTTTCATTTATTCTTATGTTACTTTCGTTCAAGCAAACGCTCGGCTGCCTCCGTAAACACCTATTGCGAAATGTCGGCGTTGACAGAGACAGCCGCCATTTTGGACCCGCTTCAGATTTTTGAATGCTAATATCTAGAGTTTAGATTTATCAACATTCAAACAAATTGTATAGTAAGCATTACGAGGAGGGTTTCTATTAACATACCAAAAATAAATGAAAAATACTGAAAAACAAAAAAGTTGGAAAATACAATTTTTTTAATTTGCATCTCGTAACGACCGGAAGTATTGACGACGCACGAGAAGGTGATTCTGCAAACCACAAAGTGACAAACTATCGTCTCCAATAAGTCTCCAGATCATATCTTTAGCCATTTTCGAGAAAAAGGGGCGACAAAATTGCATTTTAAAATCAGGAAATTGTCAATAACTTGGCACCAGAAGCGAATTTTCCAAATTTCTCTACGGATGTAACAACTTCATATAATGAGACATATTTTGTGAAAGTTTCATGAAAAACTGCTGAATAGTTTTCGAGAAATCGCCTGCACAAAATTTTGTCAAAAAAAAGAATAATAATAATAATAATAAGAATAATAATAAGAAACAATAGAATCACTATAAGGTCTTCCGTGAAGACGGAAGACCTTAATAATAGAGAAAAAGAAACCGAACGAAAACAATAAGGTCTTCCGTTGGAGACGGAAGACCTTAATAAGAATAGGGAAAAAGAAACAGAACGAAAACAATAAGGTCTTCCGTTGGAAACGGAAGACCTTAATAAGAAAATTGAAAAAGAAACATAAGAATAATAGAAGGGTCTTCCGCTGAAGACGGAAGACCCTAATAATAAAAATTAAGAATAACAAGAAGGTCTTCCGCTGAAGACGGAAGACCTTAATAATATACTTAACATTGGCATTATTTTGATTTTCTGTTTCATAAACCAAAATTATTTTTATATTCAGATCGATCTCCCAGGCAGTTGCTGTACGTATTTGGGATAATATCCAGTGTAAGGATAACAAAATGGCTGAGCTTAAACAGTATATGCTTGGTACAGGTTTATTTATCATTTCATATTTATTAATTTTTCTATGTATTAAGATCAATTAAAAGATTTTTACAAAAAAAGTGATTAACAAAATAATTGCTTTTAAATGTACATTTTAAACCATATTGGTTCATGTTAATATAATATTTTCTGAAAGAAACAAGACTTCTAATAAGATGATATTGTTGGTATAAAAAGCACCCGAAAATAGAAATGATGAATGCAAAGTAAGTGAGACAAGAGGCATGGAAAGACCGATTCTAACACTCCATATATACCGGCAAATGTCGTCCTCAACATTACGACGTGTCATTCAGTATTGTTCCTCGAAGGAGAATCAGCTGAGTATAAATCTGGAATGCAATATATCTCCAACAGGTACAATTTATTTTTTTTAAATAAAATATATTATAATAATTTTTATTATAATCAGTTATGTAACATGAAATTTTATTTAATTTTGTTAAATGAATAAAAGATACCATGAACAGTTGCTGTAATTTATATTAATTAGGAATCAATAAAACCTTAACTACATTGTGCTGAATTTATCTTAAAGATAAATATGCCGTATTAGTGTTTTATTTTAAAAGAAATAAATACATGTAGTGTCTCATCAAGTTATATAAGTTATATCCTTTCTGCAAACAAGACAATTCCACTCCATCACTTCCAAATGTTACCAAATATTATTTGGTAAAAATTATTTTCTCTCCGAATCGGATAATAAACCGCCTATTATTGAAATATTCATGATCACGTGGCCTCGCATGCTCACGGCAAACAATGGTCCAATTTCGTGAATGAACCGAAAAGCATGATGGTCTACTACGTTTTTACTACAAACACGTGAGTTAGGGATTGTCAATACGTGAGCACACTTCAGAGTTGGTTGCTTTTTGTACCGAGGAATAATCACGTGCAATTGTCTTTTCACTAACAGTACAGCACGGGGAAACTCTTAACAAACGGACCTGTACTATGGAGTGGGGAAAACTTTAATTTGTATCATTGTTAATCATTTGTATGCAAATATGAGCATGGGATTAGTAGATAATAATGTACATAATGCATTAAGCGTGTAAATGCTTGGGAAAATGCATCGTCTTTCAGAGAGCAATTTAAAAAAAAACTAGCCTTTCCGAAAAACACATGAAGTATTTTATGTAGTAACCCATAAATGCATTAAATGCAACTCATTGAGCTGATTGGTCGATTTGTCAGTCATATTGGTTCCTTACTGAACAGACGTCACAAAAAATATTTTCCTCGACCTGATGATTTTCCCGCGCACATGCGCAGATCTAGAATAAACGTCAGTCCTTTATAAATATGCATGAGAATATCGTGTTCTTTTCCCGACCAGTACTTTGTTAATACCGAATAATATTTCGTCGACTTTGCAAGAATGCTTCATTTTTGATAGCTTATCATACTTCAGAATTTTTTGTTCGGTTTCAGCTGTGCAAAAATACTGTTTAATACGGCATACATATCTTTAAAATTAAAAGTTTCTATGAACAAATTTGCTTTAGCTTCCTGGGGCAGACTTTGCCTAGCTGATGACCACTGCGACACAGAAAACGCAGTTTGTAGTATGGAGAAAGCTTATGGACGCTGCCTATGTAAAGAAGGACATCGCGTTGACGATAGTCGTCGAAAATGCATCAAAAGTATTTACTTTCAAGGACAAATACAAAGTTACATAAATTTTTTAAAAAGTAGATTTTATTAACATAAACGATTACAAATGTTATTCATATAATTTTACATTTCTTGTAGTAAATGTTTCTCTTCTGGGACAATGTGAGACAAGTGAGAACTGCGGACAAATGAACACACGGTGCCATAGTAATCGATGCACATGTGCTATTGGATTTACTGAATCTAATGGATTTTGTGTAAAAGGTACTGCTTATGTTAATAAAGTGCCATTTTCTCATGCCTTGATAATATTTTTGGACAGGCATTTCCCTGTGATATATCAAGAAACTGACATGGATATTTATTTAAATTATCTGTAATACCTTTAGTTTTTCAATGTAGAATAATATGATAAAAAGTTCTTCTTCTTAATAGAGATATATTTTTGTTGCTTTAAGTTAAATCTGCTACATGCAAATCAAAAGCCATATGATTACTTTTAAAAAAGCGAAAATAGTGAACAGAAAAAATATTTTTAAATTCCAAAAAAAAAAATTAAATCGGTGAATATGATCGAAACATAGGGACCCCCATGTATTCCAGAAGTGGTATCAAGTTCCATGGAGGAGTAGATATCCCCTATTGACAAGACATATAGCAAGGATATAAAATCATCAAAATAACAAAGATGCATTATCTTATCTGTCACTACATTATATACCACTTAATTGTCTCGAATTAATATGTATCATACTTCGACCACGCTAATGATGAAAAAGCTGAAATAATTTGTTTTGTCAATTTAGTTTCTGTTTCCTTTTATTGTCTTAATCCAGTAAAACATCAAATATGAAATATGTGGCACAGCCTATGGTGTCTAAAATTGATTTCACTGTGTAATATTGTCTAGAGAACATATAAAAGACATATTAAGAACTTATTTTAAAACAACATTGTCAATATACACACAGAATGCTGGATGGAAAACTGTTATAAGTAAAATTAGAAGATTTCGATAAAAAAGAAGTATTTCATAAATTACATTAACTTTGTGATAAACTTCTTAGAGTTTCTAATAAATATGGAGGAATAACTAAAACAAACGAGCTGCAGTCTATTGAAGACATGTACAATATTTACGTAGTTACATGTTTGTTTTACCTTGCAGTTAAATTAAGGACGTCTTATCTCAACTCTGATATCTCGGTACCTCGGATATCTCGACATTTTCCGATTGTCCCGTCGAGATGAACTTAACCTTTATCTAAATTGCAAGAGTGTTTTCTCTTCTGTAGCTGCTTTTAAATTAATTCTGCCTCATAGGAATATAAAAACAAGACGGCTGATAAAGATGCACAATTAGTACAATTAAAATTCTAACAGTACTTTGAAAGATGTAGTCTCCGAAAACAACACACACATTGTCAATGAGGTATCCCGGCATCGATGTTTTACTTTAACAATTTTCCTCTTAATAGCAACTTTAAAACCCGGTGAAGCTTGTTCCATCGACATAGAGTGTGGAAAATATCAGACATGTTTCTTAAACGAGGTAAATTATTTACAAGCAAGTTGACGAAACAAGAATACCAGCAGTCTCGTTTAAAGTCATCATTTCGTAAGTTCTATGGTCGATACAATGACCTTGTCAGCTAATACAGTTTATCATTGAGTCAAATGATGACTGACGTTTTTCATATACCAACTGTTAGTCCATTATTTATACACTGAATTGACGACAGATTTTTTCCGTTATTTCCTGATCATGACAGGAGCACACGGCGGCACTCCTCCATGGCACCTGATCCCACCTATGATTTTTCGGGGGTCCGTGTTTGCTCTACTCTTATTTTGTTTTGTTTTAGGGACTTTGAAAATGTATACTGTTCGTTATCTCCATATCCTTCATGTTACAACAGAACATGTTCCTGTCAAGCGGGATATTTTCAAATTGAAAACGTCTGTATAGAAGGTACGTGTAATACTCACAAAATATTCTAAAGACTATACTGATTATTAAATCAAAACAAAGAAAAGTACAAGAAAGCATCACGTTTCATCAAATGTTAGCTTTAATTTGTATACCATGATACTCTTTGAATGTATTTTTATATGAATAAGTTTTACACCATGATTTACATATATCATATGTCAGTACTACCAACAATGCACTGAAACACCGCACGCAAATCAATGTATCGGAAATTCCACTCATCTTTGGTGTAACTGCGATATGAAATTATTAAAAAAAAATTATTCTTCTATACGTATGAGTTACGTTTAAGATTTGACAATTTCCCAGGGGATAATGACGATCGCTGTAGATTTTTTGTTCAAGAAGTCAAATGTCAATGTCATAAAAAATATATGTCTGCTTGAAAACTTCCATTTCCGCATGTTAACTTAAGAGGGCGTTGATCTCTTACAGTAAATTATTTTACCACATCTATTTATGCTCTAAGAAAGAACCCTGTATTTTTTTTTTAAAAAAAAGGTCAAAAGATTACTGTTGTGTTTAAAACTTCATACCATAACCCCAATGCCAAACAACCCCTCTTTAAGTACACCCTCTCGCCCCTAGTTCCTTGAATGTTCTTCTTTTTTCCCTTTAGCATTTGACACATATTCTTTGAATTAGCCTGTGAATAAGAATTTTCTTCTCAACAAGAAACATAAAAATGGATAAGACTGATAAAAAAGATACCCAATGTAGATAATCTAAGTGTTGTACATATTTTTATAGCTTAAATAAATATAGCTTCAAAGAAAGTATGACGGAATTGCCCCACAGAAGACTTGAGACATGCCAGACCAACTATAGTGAATTATTGAAATTGTTTTTACATAACTTACAATGTATTCATCGAAGCTTCCCTTGGTTTGATAATTGATTGTGATCTCTCTTTTTTCAGAATTTAAATTTCAAATGGTTGATATCAGCAATAAATGTCGGGGTTCATCTTTCTATGCATGTGCAATTATTTTATTTGATTTATTACATGTAATAATTAATTTCAACGATTATAATAATAAATCTTTCTGATTAAAATAACTGGCAAGTCTTTGAGGGTGCAAATATAATGCATACAGCATTTTACTAATAAACCTAAAAGACACTCCCTCAACATTTAAAATAGAAATTCAAATAAGAAAACAGTTTCATTTATGTCAAATAAAGTGATAGGTTGTTGGTAAAAGTATCTGATTTTGTTTTGTAATCAAAAGAAGAATAACTATAAAATCTTTTTTTTTTTTTTATTTTTCAAAAGCAATTATGACAACGGTCAACAATTGTCAACAAGAAATGACAACATGGCCAATACCTTGTTCAAAGGAAGACAACTGTGATATTTTTACAGTTATAGCTGATTCAACAGAATCTGTTCAAGGAATACATGAAATCCCTGTAGAGGCAACACCAGCCCCTGAACACAAATGTAGATTTCACACAGTCAATACAGAAAGATCTAACTCATCACTGGGCACAGGTATTTTAAATGTTTAAAGCTGTTATGCAGTTAAATCCAATTTTATGAAGGTCACAACGTCGTTTCGTAAAATCTTGAGAAAGCTTCATTTAAATTGTTTTAATGCAATAATATTGACAAACTATTATACTTCGTCATTATCATTGGAATCTTCATTGTCATCTTCTGGTTCATCCCAATGAAGACTTGCATTATCGTCATTTCGATTTTGCAATCTGAAAATGTGCTGTGGAAGCATTTCGGATGATTGTTTGAAGCCAGAAATTTTATCCAAGCTATTCCAATATGGTCCTCCGCCTGTCTTTTTCTTGTCTCTCTTCTCCTAAGCAACATCAGGCTTCGTTCTTGCTTATAGATTTTTCCATAATGATTTCAACAGTGTTATGGTTCTCTTGTTAACACCGTGTCTAGAACTAAATTCTACAAAATATTTTTCAATTCTTTGTTCTTCTAATTAACCATTCTGCAAACATTCTGCATATTTACTATGATGTCCTTCCTAGCATGGACAAGCCCTAACAAAATGTCCTTTTCTTATTCGGAAAAAATTGCTGACTTCTGTCTTGTTGCCATTATTTTCAAGGAATAAAGTAATCTTAAGCCGTATTCAGGTAAGAAAGAGTTAAGACATAGGTTTGCAACCCAACTATTTTTCACCTGAGTACAACTCAAGCCAGGTTTAAAACAGGGTTATCTGATCCCTACATCGCCTATTAAATCAGGGTTACATGAGCTACAGCAGGTATGCAAGTGGTCATAAGCGATTTGAAAATTTAATACTCTGTCGTAAAACCTGATACTGGAGATTGATTGATTGATTGTATATTTTTTAACGTCCCTCTCGAGAATTTTTCACTCATATGGAGACATCACCGTATGCCGGCGAAGGGCTTCAAATTTTGACCTTTACTCGGCACTCAGGGCCATTGAGCAGTGAGGGATCTTTATCGTGCCAACGCCTGCCGCTGACGCGGGGCCTCGGTTTTTAAGATCTCCTCCGAAGGACCCGCAAGAAAATTAATAGTTTTTAAGTATACAAAATAAAAGCTAATAATAAAGCCATGTCTGTATCAATGTAAGGATTCAGCATTAAGGATGTGTCATCCTTTTCCATTAATTTTAAATAAAGCCCTAGAGGGTCTTGAGTTATCTAAAACGATGCTAGGTCATCGATTTACTCAGATTAAAAAAACATAAATATATTATTTTTGTAAATAAAAATATTTCTAGAAACAAAAATGAAGCTTATCCTGAAAACTTCTGTAAATACAAAGCTATTTAGTGTTTAATATCGGATTCTTTTCTATGGCGTATGAACAATGAGTGAAACTCTTCAGCTGCACCAGTTTCTATAAAGATTTCGCGCTTTCCTTTGCGTAGGGATCTCAGGTAACTTTTTACAGTCGCCAACAAAGCATCCTTGGACGAGTCCACTGAAGACCCTGAGAGGTGACGCAGGTTACCCCATCGTTTATAAATTCTACAATGCATGGCCTGAAAATGTAAATGGTTGTACCCCCAACAGAAATTGCTTTTCACGGGCCTGCAAATGATGCTTACTTTGAGTGACAATAAAATACTAATAATAGCACAAAATCAATCTTAAATTCTCATATTATCTTAAGCTTTGGTAACAGAACCTATATAACTTCTGTTGGATTCGTACGGAATATGTATTGGACATGCCGACCTGCTGGATGAACCCCATTGTCTCAAGCCACGGGCTGGAATAGGAGGGTATCGTACATTTTTGGCCGTGGTTTGCAACGATGGTTGAACCCAAAGTCCCCCACCTTCCACTTTTAAAAACTTTCCTACATGCAGCAAAACAACCTGTAAATTATGACAACTGTTTGGCAGCGGAGGTTCCAAATGCAGAAAAATCATTTTGTGAACTTCAAGAAGCTTTTTAAGAAACATGACGTGAACAAGATTTCTTAAGATGAAGTTCTATATTTCAGATATATATCAGATATGAAAAAGAAGACGTTGACACCTTGTCAAAATGTATCAGATACATGTTAAATTCACGTATTAAAAGATTGAGGGGCAATATGAAAACCATCTATCCTTCTGTGTTCAATTAACCAGAAGTAAAAAAAAGAGAATTAGATAGATTACACGATCAGTATGTACTGGTTCCTGCCGACAAAGCAGGTAACAACATTGTCTTCATTTTTAAGGCTCATTATATAAATTGCATTTTAGAAGAACTGGGATTTAATTCTACAAGTGGTAATCCTACTTATACTCAATTTCCTTTCTAAGGAAGAAAATCTTCATAATCACCTGTCAGTTTTGAATACTTTTAATATTCCACAGAGCCAAAATGAATTTGAATAACTACCTTATATATACTGGATTCCGAAACTTCATAAGAATCCTTACAAACAAAGATACATTGCAGGTTCCAGTAAATGTTCAACCAAGGCTCTTTCGTTACTCCTCACTAAATAAGATATTGACAGTAGTGAAGGAAACACTTTAAGAGTACGGTGCAACAATATATTCAAGAAGTGGTGTGAATCAGATGTGGATACTAAAAAATTCTAAAGAACTTTTGAACAATTTGAAATCACGACTTTACAAAAATCAACAGCTTAAAAACAACGACTTTTCAACTTTATACACAACAATTCCCTACGACAATTCCCTACGACAAATTAAAATCCAGGCTTTTTGATATCATTGACAGCTGCTTCTTCAATAAAAATGAAACTCGTAAATTTACTTACCTCGTTATTGGTCATATGCAAAATAATTTTGTTAAAACAGATTCTGATTGCACACATAGGTACTCTGAAGTTGACATCAAGAAGATGCTTGAGTTTCTGATTGACAATATTTATGTGGTTATTGGAGACCAGGTATTCAAACAATCTATAGGAATACCCATGGGTAAAAATTGCGCTCCGTTATAAGCAGACTTATTTTTATATTCAGATGAAGCAGAATCTATGCAAAATCTTATGCGTGAAAAGAGGAAAACACTTGCTGTGGCCTTCAACTCGACATTTACATTGTAGATATATCGAATTGTCAATTAATAATGGTAATTTCCATTCCTACGTCGATACGATATATCCTGGTGAGCTTGAGATAAAAGATACCACAGAGTCCGACACTTCTGTTTCATACTTGGATATTTTACTTGAAAAAGACACTAATGGTAATCTAACAACCAAGCTATATGATAAACGTGTTGACTTTAACTTTTCTATCGTCGACTTCCCTTACTTATGCAGCAGATGCCCTTCATTACCTGCATACGGAGTATATACATGTATATATATCTCAAATGATTCGATACGCAAGAGCATGCTCTACGTATGAACAATTTATAAAACCAGGTAAATTATTGACAAGCAAGTTGATGAAACAAGAATATCAACAGTGTAGATATATCGAATTGTCAATTAATAATGGTAATTTCCATTCCTACGTCGATACGATATATCCTGGTGAGCTTGAGATAAAAGATACCACAGAGTCCGACACTTCTGTTTCATACTTGGTTATTTTACTTGAAAAAGACACTAATGGTAATCTAACAACCAAGCTATATGATAAACGTGTTGACTTTAACTTTTCTATCGTCGACTTCCCTTACTTATGCAGCAGATGCCCTTCATTACCTGCATACGGAGTATATACATGTATATATATCTCAATTGATTCGATACGCAAGAGCATGCTCTACGTATAAACAATTTATAAAACCAGGTAAATTATTGACAAGCAAGTTGATGAAACAAGAATATCAACAGTGTCGTTAAAAGTCATCATTTCGTAAGGTTCTATGGTCCAAACAATGACCTTGTCAGCAAATACAATTTTTCATACCAATTGTTAGTCCATTATATTAATACACTGAATTGAATTGACAATGGATTTTTTCCGTTATTTCCTGATCATGACAAGGAGTCAACGGCGGGTGTGACCGGTCGGCAGAGGATGCTAACTCCTCCATGGCACCTGATCCCACCTCTGACGTTTCGGGGTTCGTGTTTGCTCTGCTCTTATTATGTTCCCCAAACGGAGTTTGGGAACATATTGTTTTTACTCGGTTTCTTATTATTATTATTCTTTTTTCTTCTTATTTCTTCTCCGGTACTTTTTTGTCCGGGAGTGTTCTCAGAAACTGTTCACCAAACTAAGTTAAAACCTTTTTAGGGGTTAATAGGTGTGTTGTGTAGATGTGCTGACCGAAGGTCATTTTGCGTGCATACGCGTGCACGTGCGGGCGCGTGAAGGGAGTGAAATGACTGATAATGTTAATATGGCCATAACTTTTACATTTTTTGATGAAATGCTTTGAAACTCATTACAAAGAGATATATTAATAGTGTTAATATCGTAACACTGTCAAATTACCACGAACTCACGTGCGTGCACGTTTGCTTTGCTCTGATTGGCTGAAACTTTAAATGGCTATATCTCCTTTATTTTTTTGACGAAATGCTTTGAAATTTAAGTCATGCATGAGGACATCCTGCAATATGATAAACAAAAAATGTTCAAGAAATAATGCTCATGGACGTATGCTGCAATCTGATTGGCTGAAACTTTAAACGGCTATATCTCCTTTGTTTTTTGACGAAATGCTTTTAAATTTAAAACATAGTCATGCATTAGAAATCCTAAAATACGATATAGAAAAAAATTCATGAAATCACGTGCATGTACGAGTGCTGCAATCTGATTGGCTGAAATTTGAAATAGCTATAACTCCCTTGGTTTTCAACCAAACAGGATGGGATTTAGAGCATTTATAGATATAAGGGACTCCTATAAGAAGGTATGGTCATCATGCACGTGCACACACGTGCGTGCATTTGGAACGAGTGAAATTAAAAATACACTTGAATGAGTGGTTTTTAATACTTTTGGACTAAATGCTTTAATATATAGTATATTAAAATATATAGATAGTGTAGACATTATGATATGGTCATAAGGCACATATATTCACATGCGCACGCGTGCAATGCTAAAATTTGAGTATAATTGGTATTCTTCAGGGAAAACGTTTTTAGAGTAAAAAATTCACAGAGTTTGTCTTATTTAATGAAGTTTACAGGGAATATGGCACCAAAAGGGAGTTGGGGAGCGTTTGGGGAACATCTGTAACGGTTCCCGTTACAATTAGCACTAGTTTGGTATTGTTTTATTGACTTTGAGATACTGTTCGTTATCTCCATATCCTTCTTCAATGTGTTTACGATTCAAGAAAAGGACGTTTTAAAAATTGATGATCAATATATGTAAAAAGGGCCTGAATCTCAACAAATATTTGAATTGAATACAATGTTTGCATTGTGTCGGTATGTAGATTACAATACTGCAAACAAATTTTATTTGCGTGAGAGAAATTTGCGCGAGATCCTCGTCATCGTTCTCGTTGCAAACTGGTCCTTAACGTCTCTCTGTCTATTAAAAACAGATCCAAAAAAAAATTTTCATACAAATCTTAAAGTCATAATTTACAGATTGTTTTTACTACGTATACAGATTTATTGTTTGCGGGAACAGGACATGATCACGTCGGATGTGACGGTCAACACTGCACGGGATGCTTACTCCTCCGCATTGGCATTTGATCAAATCTTTGATGCAAATTAGCGGTATATTTACGTTGCAATACTTATTTATTGTTTCTATGAAATTTTTAGTTTGATAACTATTCGTTATCTCAATTTTCCAGTCATAGTACCAGCTCTCACACTATGCAATCGATGACGTTTTTTCCCTGTAGAGGGACTGTAATGCACATCAGCTTTTGACGAAACAAAAGTAACACGTTTGCAATACGAACAACAAATATTGATGGAGTGTCAAAATATGTAGTTGTTTATTAAAATGAGAAGATGTTAAAGTGTCACACTCCAGTAATTTTGAAAATTATCAAATGGATGCTATGAGCAAGTATTTGTGTAATGTTAATGTACCACAACTGTTGAACATTTTGTTGGACTGAACGCTTTTAAATAAGACCAAACACTGATTTTTTTCATACTATTTACATGTAGATAAGATTAAATTCAAAGAATATTTATAATCCTTTAAAAAATAATTTTGTTATGAACCACATTTATTAATGTACACTACTTTAAAATGATAATTGTCACTTTTTGAAAAGAGTAATCAAAATACTTACTGCCTCTAGGCTCATGTAACAATTTTGACTATGTCTTGTTTATGGAAGTGCTCTATATAACAATCGTGTGTTTATAGCTCTTAACAATGCTGTTCTAGCTAGTTAGATCCCATGCCAAATCCATTGTATCAAAAGGAATTTAACTCAGGCATTCTAATTTTAGCAAAACAAAATATAGACTTGCTCAAGTCTCTATTTTTATTATTAATTTAGATTCTTTATTCATGTTTGTATTAGTTGCTTTCCTCTGCTCTCTAACATAGTTAATGTTATCAAACCTATGTTTAACATAATCAAAAAGTATATTTAAAAAAACAGCACTGAAACATAAAGTCATGAGCAGGTCTCAATGAAATATTTCCATTTTTATTTTTTTTTCCCTGTGATAACTCTTTGAATATTAGCGGAGTTGATATCTTGATAATTCTACCGAATGCAAATTAGGGAGGTAGATAGGTTCTGGAGGTTCGGAGGCCTAATATGCATGCAAATCTCATGCGCATCTGTCTCCGTGTCTGACGCTTAGGAGGCCAGATATGCATGTAAATCTCGTGCAGCAGCATGCCTTTGTGTTTGCGGTCAGTGGTCGAGGATAATTAAAAATGGCATGGGAGTTCTCGTGTAAATTAAATCTATGTCTACATTTTTAAAATCTAAATCTACAATTTTATTTCACAATGATATGGAAATATAAGGAATCACTGTCTAGTTAGTATTAGTATGCCAGGGACATCAACGATAGTGGGAAACATGGGATAACTTATGCCCGTTAAGCAAATTATCCCATGTTACCCACTATCTTTGATGCCCCGGTATACTATTCTAACTAGACAGTGAATCCTTAAATATGCATACTATCCTTAACATTTTTACAAGTTTGTCAATGCATTTGCTTTTGATACAAGGTACATGTACATGCACTGTATTCAAATAATCTATGTATTATCAATTTTGGGGCTTAATTGGTGGGTTTAAAATATCTCAGTTTTTTATGGGATCAACAGTTTCACAGAAGATGCACATTGTACATTTTAATCTATTCATTCCTCTATTTTTTATGACCTTTTTGTAATTGAAAAGTTTACACTTTGGTTACATGTATCAGGAAATTTCTTGGTTGGATTTTTTTTAACTTGTGCGAACCCCCTCCCTCGAAAATTATTTCTAGATCCGCGCCTCGTATTCATACCTACATCCCAAAACAGCATTGAAATCTGTTCTTATTTTTATTGTTACATTGTGAGATAATATAATGATATTTATAACTTAAACAAAATTTCCATGAAATGAACATAAAATTAAAAAAACTGTACGCCTCTCAGATCAAACATTTGTTCTGTGGAGTTAAGTTAAAGATGTTTTGCTTTTTGCCCAACTAAATAATTTGTGTCTATAACTTAAATACATCTTTAAAATTAGCTAAAACCTATGTATATTGATTTTCGAACAGTAATGAACAAAATGTAAATGTCAAACGTGGTTGTAAAACGATAAACGTGGCAGTATATTGGATATCTTCAAGCTGCAGTTTCATACATGTATTGAATTGAAATGCTGGACATAATTCATAATTCTATCCTATATTGTTTGTAATTAACACATGTACCTGCGTTATGTAGATAATTCTGTAATCTGATTATGATATAAGACATGTGTTTTCGATCTTCGGTAAAGTTTTCTTTTGTTAATCGTTATGTTTAAAAAACAGTTATAATTTCTGAGTATATTGTTGGTCAGGTGTTTTCGATCTCCAATGTTAACTTCTCTATAAAAGTAAAAATCAAGAGTCGTGCACTGACTGCTGTATGCTGGCTATCTCAGGTAATGATTCCTTTCGTGTTATGAATCTTTGCTTGTATTTGTTCTTGTCTAATTTGCATGTTTTAGCTTTTTCCATACAATTTTCGGTTACCGTGCGTTCGTATGTTCGTACACTCGTATCTCGTATAGTGCTTAATGTTTTACATGTGGTTCGCCTTTCTTTTCCGAATTTGGTGAATAATATTACATTTGTTTAAAAAAAAAAATAGCTGAAAACTTTTCAATTTTATCGAAGATAGATAATAAAATTTTATGGATGCTGTAAAATGATCATTCATAAGAAATTAATCAAAAAATGATTCAAAAATAGTTAAGTCAAGAGGGATAACCGTGGATTTCTATGATTACACATAATGAACAAGGTGCTAGTCCTTCTGACCAATCAGATTACAGTTTTTAGACAGAAAAAAAATTAAGCGTACATGATGTATATTTATAGCAACTTTTAGTTATTGTTCTTGACTTCCATCTGAGATCTGGACGATTTCCAAATATGGAAGTCAAAAACGATAACCTTGAATTGCTATAAACACACAGAATAAACAAGGTTCTAATCATCCTGACCAATCAGATAACGGCATTTAGACAAACCCACCAGAAAATGAATAAAATATGTGGTTTTAAACTTTTCTGCTGAAAATATTTTTTTAAAACATACTTTTTGTAAACTTTATATGCATATTTAGGAATGAAACAGCATAAATGACAATTTACCGTGAACAAACACGACTTGAAAAGTTAGGACAAATTATTAGTGGGATTTAAAAAACTGTGAAAACGAGGTAGCTATCCCAAAAGTTTAACTTGTGTTAAGAAATTTGATATAAATACGGCAGATTTTCAGATTTTTTAGCCTAGTATGAAAAGTTTTCGGATAGGAATGTTTTAAGTATTTAATTTCCTGAGTGTTTATTACAATGTACAAATTAGTTCACTTTCTGATATGCATGGTAGGTTATGTCGAAAAAGCATTAATCTACGTACATGCAGTTTTCTAGATGTTTTACATGTTTCCTTGTCTCCATTTAAAGTGTTTATACATGTAACGTTGTATTACTAGACATTTTCGGTTGAATGAACTTCTACTACACTATCGATAATGAATAAAAAGTATGGAAACCAGAATGAGCAGATATAAAATAAAAACACTAATAAAAACAACTCGGTAGTTTTAAATGGCATTTATTTTAAACATTTAGTTTACAGCACCTTACGTGTTAAGGTAGTTCTGTAGTGAAAAAATTCAAAGTATTTTATTGATGTACTTCTTTTCTACAAACTAATCCCGCAATGATATATACAAGATCTGGAATGACGCAAAACACTTTTCAAAGTTTTGTATAATTTCAACTTTGCGATAGAACTTTCTACAATAGATCTATGCCTAGAAACTGTGGTATTAGATTTTCTGCATTTCCGTCTTGCTTCTGTATTATCTGTTGGGGTGTAATGGTGTGATTTTAGGATGGCGATTAGGATAAACTTGATCTGCAAGTAATACGCAGTCATCTGGAAAAGGTAGTTCTCTTCCAGAAATATCAGGTATATCTCTTTGAGAAAGAGATATCTTTTAAAATTAGAGAGATATTTCTTAAACTTACAGAGATATCTCTTTTCATAAAAGAGATATCTTTTCCACTTTAACAGATATCTCTTTGTAATTGAGAGATATCCTTTTTGTGAAAAGAGATATCCCTGAACGTTAAAGAGATATCTCTTTCACATGGAGAGATATCTCTTTTACGTTTGGAGATATCTTTCCCAGTTAAAGAGATATCTCTTAGAGTAAAAAAAATATACGTCTTAGTTTATCTAAAGAGATATCTCTTAAAGTGAAAGAGATATCTTTAAAAAGTGTATAAAATAGATATCTCTCAATCTAAAAGAGATATCTCTTTATTGCAAAGCGATATTTCTTTTCATTATTTCTATTTGAATTCCTTTTAAAATCACTTCTTCCTGACCGGAAGTAAGCCTTTTATTCACGGAAGTACATTAAAGTATATTTATATTTCGACATATTCATGATTTTCTACATTAATTAAAGGTACTTGGACACAGATTTGAAGTTAATATTTTCTCTATAATATTACGACTTATATATTTAAAAGCATTTCACACAAAAATTGATTAAAAATCTTATTTCATTTAAAGGTTATTTAAAACTTCAATTATTTTGGCGGGTTTGATTGACACATCCTTGCACTTTCACATATTTTAACCTTATTCTTAATCCTTAGGAAAAGTGGCAATCTTGTTTTGTATTAATGAGAAACATCAAAACTTTTATCCAGACAAATAATTTTATTCAGAGTAGAAATGTTAGAAAGCAAAACTCCTTCACAAGTATCGTCATTTCTAACTAAAAGTTGCGTACAGAGTTTAGCGAATCGAGCACACTCGTGTTATGTACACAGTTTTTGTAAACAGGGCACGAGTTCTGTTATTGTTTATGTTTATAATTCACTGGCTGCGTTCAATCATCACAACTGTCTTCTTACCACAACTGCACGGACTGACAATATATTGTGTGTTTGTTTTGCTTTCGAACATGTCTACTCTGAATTTTCTGGATTATAGTATTAATATTATTCATTTATACAAAACGAGATTGCCACTTTTCCTAAGAATTAAGAATAAAATCAATTTGTGATACTGTAGTGTGAGAATGTGTCAATCAAACCCGCCAAAAATTTGAAATTTTAATATCTTTTTTATGAAATAAGATTTTTAATTAATTTCTGTGTGATATGCCATTGAAATATATAAGTCGTAATATTATAGAGAAAATTATTTTTTCAAATCTGTGTCCAAGTATCTTTAAAGCTTTACTAAACATAACATTTAGTTATGTCTAGATTTCATATTTGTAATAGGTGATTATTTTAAAAGCTGAGAAAATTCGATCCATTGCATTTAAGATTATATAAATATGCTTACTTTCGTTTTCCTGAATATTAAACTTTTAGCATTTGATCAACGAAGTTGCCATTATTATTTGTTGTTTCAAACAAGGGATCTATTATAATAGAATTTTTGTCTTCATAGTTCATATATTATTTTGGCTATTGTATGATCAGTTTTTTTTCTTATAACAGCGAAACTATTCCAGGGACTTTACTTCCTGTTTCGCGTTCGTTTGAAAGTGGAGAATTGGTTATTTTATTTTAAGGATCACTGGAAAAGAGATATCTCTTTCATTAAAACAGATTTTTCTTTAGCTTTGAAAGATATCTCTTTTTGGAAAATCTAAAGAGATATCTCTCTAATTAAGAAAGATATCTCTTTTAACCTTGTTAAAGAGATATCTCTCTCGTTTAAAGAGATATCTCTCTAGCTTATAAATATATCTCTCTAAGTAAAAGAGATGTCTCTCTTACAAAAAGATATATTCTTTTTGCTTAAACAGATATCCCTCTATGGTATAAAGATATCTCTATTAGTCAAAGAAATATCTCAGTCTATAAGCTAAAGAGATATTTTTTTTCACAAGTAAATAGTTAAAGGGCTTGTCATACATTACTGTCTTTGAAGTGTCGACAACTACATTAAAAGTGCTGTGAAATAAATGTTCAAAATAAACACCTTTAAAACTAACAATTTTTTTTGTAAATGTTTTTATTTCATATTTGCTCTTTATGGTTTCCATACTTTTATCCATTATCGATATTGCAGTAGAAGTTCATTCAACCGAAAATGTCCATTCAGTGCTCATGAAACCCGTGATATTTCATAACTACATGTAGTCTATACGATGAACACGTGTATGCAATTGATATGCAGTGTATATCTATGAAAACTACGCGATATTGATGAAAGTCAAACAGCTAAGCAAAATTATTGTTACCGGTGTAACGACGAAAAGTGACCCCCTTAGAATATTGACCGGGGGTCATTTTTCTACGTAGAAATTTGACCCCCTGGTCAATATTCTACGTCGAAAATGACCCAGGTTTCTGTAGAAATTATAGCCTTGGGGTCGTTTTTCTCCGTATACATTGTAGAAAAATCACCCTGTAGAATAATGACCCCATTTTTTTTATGAAGCATTTGTTTTAGTAGGAATATTCTTGTTAGGCGAATGTATACGGGTAATATCAAGCAGCCTTATGCTTTGAAGTGTTAATTTATGAATGCTTTGAAGCTTGAATAACGAAATCAATGCTATACAAAACCTTACATTAATAAGAGAAACCGTTTTATCCACATTAGAGGAAAACAACATCTATTAATTGTTCCAAGGCTAAGATACGCGCATTCATAGAATCGTTTATTAAATTATATACAGTAGGTTTCCACAGTTGTCATTTTAATCTTTAAAAGGGTAATTTTCTTGCTGGTGTCAAAAAGTTTCCATAATTAATTAATTAAAAATCTCTTTGATTTTACCCTGAATAAATAATTTGCAAAACTCAAAATGAAGTTTTTTTTTCAAAAATTTAACGTTTTTTATCCCTACTTTCAAAATGGGCGATAAAAAGGGCGCTAGAAAATTGGATCTTATAAAAATATTTGGTTTTCTTTGAATGAAGTCCAAACTTCTCATAAAAGTATTGATGGTTTAATTTGTAATAATAAATACGAAATTAAATTGCCTTTGACCTATGATTCAAAGGAAACAAACAGTGTTAGCTAAAAACCTGTTAAATGTCTTTTGTCGTTTGCTAGTGTCAACAAAACCTTAACAAAATGTGGGTTGTAGCATAAAATACGTAATTAACTAGAAAAAGAAGTGCTCGTCTGTCTAAAAATTGGCACATGTAGTATCGTTTTCCCCTTTCTACATGCAGTATGCAACTCCGTATGCAATTGATAAAGGTATATTGCTGCATAAGTAAGGGAAGTTGACGATAGAAAAGATAAAGTCGTCACGTTTATCATATAGCTTAGTTGTTAAATTACCATTAACGCCTTTTTCAAGTAAAATATTCAATTATGAAAGAGATGTGTCAAACACTGTGGTGACCTCCTAAGAGCCATTACATCCATTTCTCCTAATTGTTGTGGTCAACGCAAATTTACAGACCTTTAGGTTTTATAGAAATTTTAAGCAACCAAAACAATTAAATATTAACAACGACACTTTTTTTGAACATTTCAAGTCACTTGCTACTTCTGACTCAAACATACAAAGAGAAGAGCATAGGTTCGATCAAACACATGTTATCTTTGAGGAACTTGACGAAGAAATTACAGAAGACGAGATACGCAAAGCTATATCACATCTCAAGCGAGGAAAATCGCATGGTTTAGATAATCTACTCAATGAATATTTCAAAGAATTCTCAGATAGTCTCGTACCAGTTTTGCATCACTAATTATTTAATACAATTTTTTCTCCTCGGGCATTTTTCCTTCAGCATGGTCAAAATCTGTAATTGTTCCAATATTTAAAAAAGGTGACCAAGGTGACCCAAATAGCTACAGAGGTATAAGTTTGATGAGCTGCTTTTGTAAATTGTTTACATCTATACTAAATAAAAGACTAATTGACTGGTCTGCAACGAATAACATTATTACTGATGCACAATTTGGATTTCAGCCAAAATTGAGTGCGGTTGATGCAATTTTTGCTTTACATAGTTTAATAACTAAATACACGCAAAGTCGGAAAAAATATATTGATGTTTTGTTGATTATAAAAAAGCATTTGATTCGGTAGTTACATGTAGAAGTAAGTTATGGATGAAAATTAAACATTATGGAATACAAGGGAAATTACTTAAAATAATTCAATCTATGTACAGTGATATAAGAACCTGTGTAAAATCATCAGGCAACATTTCACAATTTTTTGAAAGTCTTGTTGGTTTATTACAGGGAGAAGTGTTGTCTCCCATGCTCTTTACACTTTATGTTAATGATCTGGAAAATGTATTTATTAATGAAGGTAATATCCCTTTAGAACTATATACTTTGCATGTTTTATACTTATGGACGCTGATGATATGGTAATTTGTGCAGAGACAGCTAATGAATTGCAGAATATGTTACATGTAAATACCCTATCTTACTACTGTACAGAATGGGATCTGGAAGTTAATGTCGAAAAAACTACAATTGTCGTATTCAGAAACAGGGGGAAAATTGGTTGAAATGAAACATGGTCATTTAATGGTAAAGAGATAGAGGTGATGGATCATTTTGTGTATCTTGGGTTACTCTTAAATTTTAACGGAAAATTCTTGGCGACCCAGAAGCAATTAGCCGCTCAGGGACGTAAAGCTATGTTTGGTCTTAAAGCATCCATCAGTGAATTATATCTAAACCACTGTACAATCTTATCTCTTTTTGACACATATGTAAGCAGTATTTTGAATTATGGATGTGAAGTGTGGGGTCATCATAAGGGTCCGGATATTGAAAAAAATCATTTAGATTTTTTAAGGAATGTACTAGGAGTGAAAAAAAATACAAACACTGTGATGCTATATTTTGAAACAGGCCGTATGCCTATGTATATTTCACGTATTACTAGAATGTTTAAATACTGGTTTAAATTGTTACATACAAGCAATTGTTTTTTGAAAGCGGCATATGGTATGTTATATAGTGAGTGTGAGAATCCAAATTGTAGGGGCAATAATTGGGCATGTGTTATCAAAAAACAACTGTGTAATTTAGGACTGAATTATATCTGGAATCAGGGACGTAGCATCCGGGGGGGGGGGCAGTGGGGGCCTGCCCCCCCCCCCACTTTTTTCCCCAACATAACCTTTACTATAGTAAATGTTCATTGATAGGACGGTTGGCCCCCCCCCCCCCACTTTATTACCATAGTATAGTGATAGGTAGGATTGGAAGGAAAAATTTGGAAGTGATAGTAAATTGGCTTTGAAAAAGTTGGCCAGTAACCCCCCCCCCCCTCAGGTTGCCCCCCCCACTTTCAAAAACAATGCTACGTGCCTGTGGAATGAACAGAATAACTTGGATAGTCGAATTTGTCTTCATATCATACAAGAGAGGCTGAAAGATAATTTTGTACAGAATTTATTATGTAATATGGATAAAGAATCAAAATGTAGTATATATAAACACTTGGTTAGTAACTTCTGTCTACAGTATTATTTGGTGAAGCCTATTCCAAAAGTGTTAAAGAGATATATTTCTAAAATTCGTTTGTCCTCGCACAACCTATTAATTGAAACTGGTAGGCACAAAAATATCCCAAGAGACCAAAGATTTTGTCCAAAATCACATAAAGATATAGAGGATGAATATCATTTTATACTCATATGTCCTAAATACGTAGACTTGAGAAAAAAAATCATTAAGAAATATTATTGGAGTAAACCCTTTGTGTTTAAATTTATACAGCTTATTAGTGTTAACAATGTCAAGGAACTCTGTAATCTTGGAAAATATATTTTAAAAGCTTTTAAAATAAGGAACTGCCAATAATTTATATGTATGTTTTATGTAAACTTTACATGCATATTGTATTTATTACATTTGTAAATCTGTAAAGGACAGTTATAATATCCCTGTCATACAAGGTCATTGTGATTTTTTTTTCCATGATATGTACAACCGTTCATTTTCTATGTAAATATTATTGTACATTTTGTTATATGCCATAGGATGTTTATCCTGAGCTATAAATAAATTACAATTCCTGAAAGTGGATAGATGCTTAAATAAACAAAATATGATAAATTATTTCATGTGTGTTATCGCCTTACGGCGCATGAATGATAACGTCAAAGTGTCTAAAACATTGTCAAGTTTCCACTTTGCTAGAGAAAAGTATTTCATTGATTCATATACTCGAGTTTCCCTTTATTCCTCCATAAACAGTCCCAAAACCAATCCCACACAAACAATATGACTTCAAAATATTTATTCGTAGGTTAAACGTACGTAGACAGTACTCTCAATATCATTCAAAAATAGGCAACTTCGAATGTCTATATTGACAGTGTCTTTCGCTATTGCCAGTAGCTGTTTGTATTTACGTTTTGTTCTACCTGATGACTAGTTTAAAAGTGTTTTCGCTTAGAAAACTCCCAATTTACTTTTATACTTAAGCATTTATGATTTTCTCGGCAAGGGATTTTAAAATATATTAAAATTTGTTTTCATTTTCTTATTTTTATCACATAGGTATTTCTGCTGGTTATCAATTCTTATGATAAAAACGAGGAATTCTTCCTTCTATTGTTTTATGTATGATAAAGCATACATGTTTCTTATGCAGTTTGATGTTTCTATTTGCATTCATTATTTTCTTTTACATTAAACAGTCAATCAAACGTGTAGCTAGCCATCTTTAAATACCTAAATCTGTGTGAACTCCGTGTTATGCATGGGTTCTCTGCTTTTAAGTTAATTATAAAATATTACGCATTACCATAATTTAGACTTCAATCTTTTTTTAAAATAGTTTAAAATTTAAAGAGCTTGGTTCACTTTATGCATAAAATGGCCCTGTCCTTATATCAATTAATAAACTGTCATGCTCTTTCCCCTTTTACGTATCAAAATAAAGTAGAGACTTAGTGGTTTCATTTCCTAAATTAAAATTTCTTTTTGAGAATCGAAGTATTAGAAAACAGGCTTTGAGAAAATGCAATGTTCTTGATTTTTCCAGAAAACTTGCATGTTTGACTACATTCAGCACAGAATAAAAATATGAGCACAGCCCACTATCCAAAAATTAAAACATGCTTTTTAATCTTCAGAAATAAATTTTCCATTATGTAATTGCATATTTTTGATCAGAGGTTGTGTTCTATATGAAAAATTGCTTCAAGTTCAGGCCATGTTCAAACAAATTTACAGGATATTGGAAAATAACGCATTTTGTGATGTTATAATACATTGACTAGAGGGAAAATTAGGTCATGTTCAATAGATACATAGTCACAAACAGTCTCTTGCTCTCTATTTTTATCGGTCATGAGAAAATAATCCTTAAAACTGATCTAGGGCCGATTGTAAATTTTGTGTAAGTATTCAATTCGAGAGCATGTATATTAACTTTTTTCTCGACTTCATATATTTCAAACCAATTATAGACATGAGAAATGAATAAAAAATATACTTAAGAATCGATCTTTAATATACTTTACTTCATAGTGTAATACCTTTGTGTTTTAGAGTCTTACACACCAAAACGCCAATCATGCAGATCTTTGGTCTATTATTCTCTGTGTTGATGTTGTTCTTAATTTCCGAACTTCAAGCTGACATTGGAGACGATGCCCAGAAAGCAACTGATGTTGTAAAGGCGGGAATTGAAGCTACTGTAGCCATTACCGACATCATCGAGGGTGTCCAAGTTCTAACTAAATTCTCAACAATGCTTGGCAAAGTAAATCCGTATCTAGCTGCCATTGGACCCGTTATGGATATCATAACCATATTTCTGCCGAAACAAGAGGATCCAACTTTAACCTTCTTAAAAACGAAATTTTCAGAAGTAGATTCTAAGTTCAGAAATATGGAAAGACTTTTCGACCAAGTAACTAATCTGATTAAATCAAAAGCCCTGAAAACGCAGTTTTCCGGAATTGAACAAAGTGTTAAGGTTTTGTCATATCGACTTAATATGTTAATGAAAGCTCCTAAAGATGCTGTCAATGGACAAAAGTCGCGCTTCATTAAGGATTTCGAGGTCAGTTATCAAAGTGCAGCGAAAAAAATATATAACGGCATTATGACCAAGCAGCACTTTACAGACAACATTCCAGACGAAGCAATGGCCTATTCAAATTACGATCGTAGAAAGATGCAGTCGGTAATGGCTGGATGTGTCGGGCTTCTTATGACAGCTGTGAAGGTAAATCTTGCCTACCTAGAGCTCACAAACAATAGAGCAAACTATGAAATGGAAAAAAGAGAATGGGAGAAAAACATCAAAGACGTTCTACAGAAAGTAAAAGACGTGGATCAGCAAGTCACTCATGCCTGGGGAGATCAGAAGTTTAAAGATTTGAAACAGCTTTCTGCACAATATAGACACGAAAACCATGAACAATTTGCAAAGCGTTTATTCAATTTCTACTCAAAGAAATATTATTGGAGGGATTGGGTCGTCATCGTCTACAATGAAATGGCGGAGAATACTGGCACGAATGGACATGCTTTTGATCTCTGTGGAGGAGACAAATATTTGCAAAAAGACGGAAGGAATGTCTTAACATCTAGCGTGCCAAAAGAAAGAAGCAAGATGTACACATACTATTATCAAAGACAATTAAGCCATATTAGAACTGAGACAGTGGTTTGGGGGGTTCATTACCCATGGAAAGCAATATCTGTCTTGAATCAAATTAGACGGGTTAGCCATTCTAATGTGTGCATGAAAGCTGTCATTTCTGACCGACAAAATATACATGCCAAAGGTTCCCATGGTCGCTTAGTCGGCAAATGGAAATACTTTTATAACATGTACATTTTCGGCTAAAGTACAAAATGCATATCTGCTGTTTGCTGAATAAAGTACGATGCAAATGATATTTTTATGTTCGTTTAATTGAAGAAATGACATCAATGTTAAAAACAGTTTACAGCCATTCAGCTTCATAATGTGACGTTTCAATATAATTTTAAATGATAATCTGTTGAAAGCAAGATGAGAAATTCTCAGGCTAAATTGTAATAACCATTTCATTGACAGAAAAATATGAATTTTGATTTAAGCAAAATCACATTATAATAGTTGGGACAGCTTTAAAGTTATGTTTTTTGCCTTCTCTCTATTCAGGATTTTAAAAAAAATGGGTCGGTATATGAAAGAAGATGAGAATTCTTTTTTCAGAAAATTTCAAATTGAAACTCAATTTTCAAAAGTAGTATTTTCAAGAATACATTTTAAAAATTCTTTACTAAAGGTTAAAGATCGAAGGCCTTGATGATCAAGCTCTTTTTACAGGTTGCCTCCTCCTGTACAATATTGATTTCTTATAGTTAATTTATATTTAACTGTACACAGATTTTTTCTTCTGATACAATAAAATATTAATTGTAGTCGTGTTGATCGTAAAGTTTTCCATTACATTCTATATATTTTCTCTTATTTACTTATTTACTTTCTTTCTAATTTAAAAAATCAACTCTAAAAAAAAGCCAATTTTAGGGACAATTTGCCTTTGCTAAGAATTGTAAAATGTCAAATTATATAGATATCTTTCACAAGGATCATCTTATTGACAAGATAATCGAATTTGTTAAACTCGAGTTCAGATGTGGATTTCAAGTTTCTATTGAAAATATTTTTATTAATTATTTATTAATAATAGTTTGCCTAAAACATTTACAATCAGTTCCTTTAAACAGTGTAAATTGAGATATTTCTATCTATTAACGTATACGTCATTTAATTGTTACAGAAATTTTAGATGTAGAATTGTTTATAAACATTTAATTAATATTCTGTTTCACTGAAAAATATTTTCAAGGGCAATAATGGAAAGACAACTCTTGTTGATTGATTGCGTAGTATTTTCCAAGCACAGAAAACAATTTGATATTTATGTTCCCCAAACGAAGTTGGGGAACATATTGTTTTTACTCTGTTTTTTATTAAGGTCTTCCGTCTTCAGCGGAAGACCTTATTGTTTTTCTTAGGTTTCTTTTCCACTATTTTTCTTCTTCTTATTTTTTTTCTTACCGATTTTGTGCACGCGAGTTCTCGGAAACGGCTGGATGGATTTTCATGAAAATTTCAGGTCTGATAGAACATCAAAAAATCTAGAAATAAAATTTTTTATTTTGATGACGTCACTTCCGGTTCGGAGATTTTCGCGATTTTGTCATTTGTAGAGGGTCACTTTGTCCGGCAATGTTCTCAAAAACCGTTGAAGATAGAAGTATGAAATTTTCAGTGATGATAGAGCAACCTTTGGAGAAGTGAATTGAGTATATCATTATTACTGGAAGTACGAAGCGCCGACGCTCGCTATGGCGCAAAAATAGTCCTATCAAGAATTTCAAAACTTTTGACACCTTTTCAAAGGTAACTTTTTACCTAGAAATATTTTGTTAAGACATGTAGAACAAAAGAAGTGTAGAATTACACGATCTTTCAAATGATATCTCGAAAAAAGGGCTGGCCCCTAAAATTAAGGCGTAGAGGGGCCGAAATTTTTTTCTTTATATCTCAAAAAGTATCGAGAATTTGTAATACGTCAAAGAAGCAAAGTTGTTCAAAATGTCGAGCTTTATCTAATGGGGTCGTCAAAATACGTCCGGTGACGTCATTTCGGGTCAAACCGGAAGTAGTAAAAAATTGTATATTTTTGCTGTTCTTGACAGGTTTTTGGATATCATATGTCACTGGAAGCTTAAATCTTAATTTTCCGTCCGTCGACGGTACTTCCGGTACTTCCGGTCAAACCGGAAGTTGCCAAAAATGGCTTAATTTTGCAATAATTAACATACATTTGGAGGATTAAACCATTTTTGGACTTCTTTTCTCTCTTTTTTTAAATGAAAGTTACTTCCAATCAAACAGGACGGAAGACCTACTCGTTGCTTTGCAACGAGCTCAGCTCTAGTTATTATTATTTTTCTTCTTCTACCTGGGTACTTTTTTGTCCGCGAGTGATCTTGTAAACTGTTCATCCGAAGTAGGTAAAACCTTTTTAGGGTTAGTAGACATGTTATGTAGATTTGCGGAATCAAGGTCATTTTCCGCGCACGTGCTTGCAAGAGCGTGCACGTGCAACACGTGAAATGACCAGTATAAGAGATATAGCCGTAACTTTTCTATTTTTTGACTATATGCTTTGAAACTCATAATATAAGTATATATTAGTTGTATATGCATAATGACATGTTCCCCGCGCACGTGCTTGCAAGAGCGCGCACGTGCAACACGTAAAATGACTAATATAATAGATATAGCCGCAATTTTTCTATTTCTTGATGAAATGCTTTGAAGCTCATAATATAAGGATATATTAGTAGTATAGACATGATGACATGGTCAAAATAGCAAGATCTCACGCGCATGCACGTGCGCTTCGCTCTGATTGGCTGAAACTAAAGTCTCAATATTTTTCATGTTTCTTGTAATAATCTTTTAAAATTTTGAACACTGTCTTAAATTATGAAGATCTACAGCATGACATATAAAAATTTTCATGAAAGCATGCGCATGAGTGCGTGCTGCAATCTGATTGGCTGAAACTTTAAATGGCTATATCTCCTTTGTTTTTTGACGAAATGCTTTGAAATTTAAAACAAAGTCATGCAGTAGGATATCCTACAATACGATATAGAAAGAAAATCATTAAATCACGCGCATGCACGAGTGCTGCAATTTGATTGGCTGAAACTTTAAATGGCTATATTTAATTTGTTTTTTGAAGAAATGTTTGGAATTTTAAATATAGTCATTCATTAAGATATCCTTCAGTACGATTAAGATAAAAAAAATTCATGCCTGTGTGCTGCAATCTGATTGGCTTAAACTTCAAATGGCTATAACTCCCTTGTTTTTTAACCAAACAGGATGGGATTTAGAACATAGATAAATATTAGGGACTCCTACAAGAGGGTGTATTCATCATGCACTTGCTTGCACGCGCGTGCACGTGAAATGAGTAAAAATTTAAAATACACTCGAATGAGTGTATTTTTTAATACTTTTGGATAACATCTTTGATATCAAGTATATTAAAATATATAGATAGTCTAGACAAGCTAATATGGCCGTAACGCACATGAACACGCGTACAATGCTTAAATTTAAATATATTTTGTATAATTCTGGGAAGACCTTGATAAGTTTAAATTCCATTCAAACTTATCTTATTCTTATTTCTTATTTAATAGAGATTACAGGAAATATGGCACCAAAAGGGAGTTGGGGAGCGTTTGGGGAACATCTGTAACGGTCCCCGTTACAATTAGCACTAGTTATTATTATTAAGGTCTTCCGTCTCCAACGGAAGACCTTATTGTTATTCGTTCGGTTTCTTTTTCCCTATTATTAGGGTCTTCCGTCTTCAGCGGAAGACCCTTCTATTATTCTTTTGTTTCTTTTTCAATTTTCTTATTATTAGGGTCTTCCGTCTCCAGCGGAAGACCCTTCTATTATTCTATTGTTTCTTTTTCACTTTTATTATTATTATTATTTTTTTCTTTACACATTTTTGTGCAGACGATTTCTCAGAGATGCTTGGGTGGATTGACTTGAAATTTTCAGGAATGATGTATCATGAACTAAACCTTATTCATATTTTTTATTTTTTGAAAAATCACTTCCGGTCGGAAGTTATCGCCCTTTAATCGAATTTTTAGTGACCATTTTGTCGACACAAAAACTCAAAAACGACAAAAGCTAGAATGTTGTCCTTTTCAGGACTAATAGACGACATATTGTAGTTTTGCACCTATACTTTCAAATTCTCTGAAAGTGCCAAGTATGGAAGCTCGGTGGGGGTCAAAATATAGGACACGAATCATGACTGATTTTTTGAGACATTTTCCATTATATCTCTTAAAGTATAAATATTTTGTTAAAACATACTGAACAATATTTGTGAAGAATGACAAGATCTTTCATATGATATCAAGAAAAAAGTGCTGACTCATCACATTAGGGGCAGAGAGGGGCCAAAAGTCTTTATCCAATAACTCTTTAGCAGTCAATATTTTGTTATACATTACTGAAGCAAAAATGTTTATCTCAACAATCTTCAACTACACATAATAATTTTTATGTCTTATTCTACATAATTAGGGGCCAGAAGGGGCCAGAATGCTTAATCTTCGACGCTTTATATCTCGAAATTGAGAAATATTTTGATAAGTAATATTGAACAAAAGATGTTCAAAATAACGTTCTAAACAATATGCAACCTTTCATTTTTCTCTAAACGTCCCCATTAGGGAGTTGAAGGGTTGGTCCCTAAATATTTCTTTTGCAAATAACTCGAAAACGAAAAAGAATCTCTGAATAGTTGTTGAACAAAAAGTGTTCAAAATCATTAGAGCTTTAAGACTAAAGCAAGAAAAAGGGGCTGGGAACTCAAATTAGGGGCCAAAAGGGGCTAAAAGTCTTTAATCGATAACTCTTTATCAGTTAATACTTTGTAATACATTACTGAAGCAAAGACGTTTATCTAAACGATTTACAACTATATGTTTTGATTTTTTTGTCGTATGGTACAAAATTAGGGGCCACAAGGGGCCAGAATGCTTAACCTTTGATGCTTTATGTCTCGAAAGAAAGAAATATTTTGATAAGTTATATTGAACAAAAGATGTTCAAATTAATGTTCTGAACAATATGCAATCTTTCATTTTTCGCTAAACGTCCCCGTTAGGGAGTTGAAGGGTTGGCCCCTAAATATTTCTTTTGCGAATAACTCGATAACAAAAAAGAATCTCTGAATAGTTGTTGAACAAAAAGTGTTTAAAATCATAAAAGCTTTATGACAAAATCAAGAAAAAGGGGCTGGGAACTCAAATTAGGGGCCAAGAGGGGCCAAAAGT